GCAGAGGTTGTTTTTATTTTTCTCCTAAGAGGGTCCATGTCTTTTATCCTACCTGGAGAGGAGGGTGGCCCATCTTTACCACATTGCCCTCTCTGAAATGATCATCCAGCTGCTGTTGGGATCAGGGTGGCCACCTCTTGGCTACTTTCTGCTGGTGGAGGTGCTGGTTCATAGTGAAGTCGATCTAGCAGGCTGCCGTAGAAGGAAAGAGGGGCCATCTTAATTAGCTGTATCCAGAAGGCTATTTGCATTTTCATAACATTGATGTGATCTGAAATGAATTGAGTAAGGCAGTTAAGTACAAGGGGCCAAACAGGTACAGCAGTAATATAGCAGCCAAGAGTCCAAAGAAAGGAAAGAGCTAGGTGGATTCAGAAGGGCCGTGTCTTTTATTCTAATCATATCTCGAGTCCCATCTTTCCCTATAAACTGATCTCAAAAGTGGTGACCTACCTGTTAATTCTGGCATTAGAGATGGCATTTCAGTCTGTCCTCGGGAAGTTGGTGTCACCTAGTTGTTATGACCAGGATCACTGTGGTGGATTCTGAAGGTTGTGTACCTGGGAAAAGCAAACAATTTAGTGACAGAGCTCATGCCACAAACCCAAGGTTTGTGTGATTTAAACCTAATGTGTCCCTGAAGAGTAAGAGAGAGTATTTATTGAGTTCCTTATGAACTGGGTACTGCCCAAAGCACTGTACATCCATGCAGTCTAATGGTCATGGACCTTCATGCTTCCCTTTTCTCATCTGTGGTTTTGGAGGGAGAAAACACAGAGCTGTTGACCCATGGCTAACATCTAGGCAGGCAGGCCTGGTATTTGTGCCCAGACCTATACCTACAACTTCAGAGCCATTCACCTTGCTTTCTGTCTTAGGTCTATAAAGGATACAACATTCCAAAGTAAAAGCCTACAAAGAGTTGCGCTATGATACAGATTTGAACAACAACAATTAACAACAACAACAACAACAACAACAACAACAAAAAGTGCAGACAGTTGGGAACATTGACTATTTGATGATATTTGGTTAATTTTTTGAAGTATGATACTTGTTTTAGGATTAGGAAAGAATTCCTTTAGGGGTATATCCTCTTAATTACAGATGATATTCAAGTTCTGAAATTTACTTCACAATAACATGAGGTTGTGGAAGTGAGCTTTAGTGGGTGAGAATGGGAAGGAAACAAGAGTGACTGAGTTGAAGACCTGTGTAATAGGTAAATATACTATTTAGTCTGATTTTGTGTATATTTTTAGTGTTCATAAAGTTAAAAAACCAGCACACCTCCGGCAAGCTACCTAGAAAACAAAAAATGCAGAGTAAATTTACCTCTTGGGAAGATGGTTTACTGTGATGTTCTGATTTGGTGGCTGAAAATGGAATAGAATCTTACTTTATTGGTTAGATGTTGTATCTTGTATCTCTTCATACAGAAAAGTAAAATTTAAAAATTGGGAAAATAGAGCTCCACAGGGCTAGGTAATTTTGCCCTTTTTGTTTTTCAATGCATTTTCATTGCCTGGTATTGAATAAATACTTGCTACATGAATCAGCTCCTTTTTATAGCCAATGCTATGGCCTCTCGTACTAAGAAAAAGGGCCTGGCTTAGATTGTGTCCAGCTCTGCAAGTGTTTAATAGAGATTAAATTGAGTTATATGGCTATATTCATTCTCTGCATTGTTCCATATGATTTTAAAGGTATCCTATGCTCTAAAGATAAGCAGTTAATTTTCAAAGAATTAAGAGATTAAATAAAACAAACCTAGAATTGAATGTAATCTGGTTTTTTATTCTAGAGTTAAATTAGAATCTCAGAAAGGAAACCCTAAGTAGCCCATTGCATTCATGATTGCTGATGGCATTGAATTTACACAGGAATACTGCAAAGTAAAGGTTTGTTTCTTATGGAAGGCTGAACAAACCAAGCTTGACTGGGGTCATTTTGTTGAAATGTTTTAAAATGATTTTTGCTTATGGTTCCCTGAATCTGAAATGCTCCAAAATTGGAAATTTTTTGAGCATTGACAAGACACTACTATGTTAGGCACTTTCTCATTGCTGGGACAAAGTACCCTGCACCACAATTTCAAGGAGGAAAGTTTGTTTTGGAGTCATAGTTTCCAGTGGGTTCAGTCCATGTTTGGCCACCTCTAAGGTAGGATTGTGGAGGGGCCTGATGGTGGAAAGCTATTCACCACATGGTAGTCAGGAGGCAGAGAGAGAAGTGAAGAGCTGGGGATAAGACTACACCCTTTCAAGTTACACCTGCAGGGAACTGCTCTTCCTAAGCAGGTCCTACTTCCAAATGTGAGATGTATGGAGGGCATTTTAGCTCAAAACCTTAACAACCACAAATGGAAAATTCCACCCCTGACTCATGTGATGAGTGACAGTCAAAACAGGTGCAAGGCTATACAGTCTAATCCCAGCTGTCCAAGAGGTTGAGGAAGCAGGAGAATCCTAAACTCAAAGTCAGCTTGGGCAACTTAGTGAGAATATATGTCAAAGTAAAAAAATAAAAAGAGCTGGAGATGTAGATCAGAGGTAGAGCACCCTTGGCTTCAGTTCCATGTATGGTAAAATAAAAACATAGATTCATTAAAAGTATTATTAAAAACTACTTGTACTTTGTGACCTTTGGGAGAAACTTAGCTCAAGCATATTGGACCTCATGTTATTATCTTTGTAATTTCCTATAAATCTGTAATTATTTCAGAGTACAAATTAAGTACCAAAGACAGGACTGGCACTTTCTGGCAGTAAACAGCTTAGTGCCTGTTGGGTGGTCAGTATACTGGCTATGTATTTGAGTTTTATTCAAGAGGGACTTTGAGATATCTGAAAGTGTTTAATTTACCACAAAGGCAAACAGATTCATTGGAATAAAATTGACAGGGGTGAATTTATAGGTCCTAAAGGTGTCCATTCAGTGGTTTGCTGTATTCACTCCAGTTTCTCATCATTTTGATAGCACAGTTATATTACAATTCTTGGTATTGTAGTAGGTGTGATTTTTAGATGGACTCCTAACATACTGCAGTAAAGATTGATTCAAACCAGAAGAAAAGCAGCTGCCTGATACATTTTACTGCTGGGTTCAGAGCTGAAGATGAACAAGGAAGTGGAAACCTGTCCTGTCTCTTGAGAATAAATGGGATGAGAGCTGGCAGCTGAACATTGACACAATGCACTTGGCAGCTGGTCTGTGAAGAGCCTGCCTATTGTACCTCTTGAAAAACTGTTCTTGAGTGAACTCTTGCTGAAGTTATGCCATATAGAAAAGCATATAAATTGCTTTCTTTCTCTAATCTTGAGATATGATATGATTTGAATTCCCATATAATTGAAACCCTATGGCAAAATAAAGACAGTAAGGCCTATTTGTAGTTGTAGGAACCAAGGAGTCCTAAGTCCAGTTAGAAGGATGACTAACTGAAAGAAAGGCCTCAAACCAGGGCCCACCTGAGTTTTGCTAATTCATGAAGAGGGGAGTGGTTTGGGATGAGTGACTGTGAGAGTGGTGGGAAGTACTGGGCTAGGTAGGAAGATAGTTCTCTGCAATATGGTAGTGGTGGTGGAGGAGAGACATAGAGACACAGAGAGACAGAGAGGGAGAAGTCTACATCACACTGTTTGAGGGAGTATGTAATGTTTTGGCGTCTGTGCTTCAGCTTTGATGTGTTATCTTCATGCTCTGAGATGTCACATCTTCTTTTCTTGAGGCTTAATCTCAGTGTGGCCAAGTCTCTAGGCCTAGCTTACATACACTACTCGGGTGCTATAGGCTGGGCATCTGTTGCATTGCTTTAGAGACTGCACATCTGCACTTTGACTATACCCATTTGCATTGCTTAAAGCCAATTGAGGGGGTAAGGAAATATCCTAGCCAGCTCATAGCAACACACAGAGGTAGGGCCAAATACTCTTCTTTCAAGGAGAGCAGTCCAGGTGGTCCTCCACAACCTTCTTTAAAAATAATCATAGAAGAAACTCCACCTTGAGCTTTTTCCATCATAAAGAAACATAAAATATTCTAGCTTGTTTAAAAGAACTCAGGCATAAGAACTGAAGTGAACTGAGGTCAAAGAGAATTTAGGGGAGGCATTTCTCTTTGGGGTAGCTTATGAAAGATCAGATTTGAATTCTCAGACAGAAAAGCTCTTATGGGTCTTGAGGTGGGGAAGAAAGATAAGGGTTCATATCTTGGCATTGTGTCTTACTGACCTTGGCCATGTGGTCTTGATCAGACACCTTATCTGGTCATTGCTTCTCTTACATGTTTCTACTTAATGAAGGATGGATGAATACATGCATACATGATTCAGTGATCATGTAAAATCTAAACTATGTGGTAAAACACTTAACAAATTATAGTTTTGTTTTGATCCTGATGTTTCATCCTTAGCTGGTGTGCCTGGGAAGTAGAATCAGAAGGCAGACTCTTGTCTTAGACTGAGTTCTCTGTTCCATAGTATAATCTTGTTTGGGTGGGAGATTTTTGGTCCACTGATTTGGTTTTTTATATGCCTTAGTTTACTCATTTACCAAATGGGAGTTGTGCTAGTGTCTGGGAGTTAATGAGATGATGTATAAGAATTTGGCATAATAATTGGCAAATGGTGTTTAATACATGTAATAGTTGATAAAAATATTGCCTAGGTAAATGCACAGTGAGTGCCTAGTATGTATTTCTATTATAGAATGCCTGACACTAAATAGGCACATAACAGATTGGTATGAGCACAGCATGTGGTAATATTCCAAATTTGTGGATAGTGGGACCAGTTAGTCCCATTCAGAAAGGAAAATTCTTACAGGTATTCCACAAACACACCGTGCCTGGTAAGTGATGATCTCTGAAATATGAGAATATGTTAACATTTATAAGATGCACATCATGTGCTTTTCTTTACATAACTTCCCCTATACCCCTTTTTAGGCCTAATTTGCCAAGTTTTACATTTTTTTTTTTTAATATTCTTGTACCTGCAGAGAAAACGAGGTGCTTAAGGTCCAGCTGAAGAAATATGTAGGAGCTGTCCAGATGCTGAAAAGAGAAGGTCAAACAGCTGAAGGTGAGGAGGGACTGAGCCTAGGTGGGGAAGGGCAAACATTTCTTTAACCCCTGTGCCTGGCACAAAGCAGACATTCAACGGCAGATGAGCACATATGTACATGAATTATGAAAAATGGTGCTGGTAAGGATTTCAGAAAATTTATTATGTATTTTTGCTAAATAAAAACTAATATTGTAAGATTACTAAACTTTTATTAGCAATAGTCACAAATATTTGTGCACTTAGGAAATTTTATGTGTAGAAATCTTGATACACTTGCATGGTAGGGAGTCTTGTGACATGACTAAATCACAGCCGGTGAGTAGCATGGTCACAGAATGCCAGAATGGAGGAATGGTTAAGTTTTTTTATAATCCCTGTGCCTCTATTTTGTCATCTGTAAAATGGGGTTAACAGCACTTACCTGGTGAAGCAGTCTGTGTAGACATCTTAGCATAATACCTACCAGAGAATAAGTACTGAATAGCATTTAGCTAATTATTATTCATGTTATTAATCAGAAATACAAGTAAACAGAAAAGTAAACAGTCATCCAGCAGATATCTCTAACAAGGTGCTGCGATGTATTTGCTTGTCATGGAAAAGTGTCCTTCAGGTCAATATGACAAAAGTATCTTTAACTTTGCTGAGTGTCCTGACCTCAGCTGACTAATAACAGAATTTTCTTTAAGAAGAATGAGCATTTTAACAAAAGATAGATGTGCCACAGTCATAGGTCTGCCTTTGAGTTCAGGCTCCATTGGCTTTCCTGAGCTCTTTTTCTTTCTTTTTTTAGCTGTGTGAGGAAACATCACATCAGTGTCTTGCAGTCAATGTGGGAATGTACCGAAACAGTGATGAAGTTCACAGCTACAGCACCCACTGTATAATGAATAGGTGTTATTTTTTATGTTTTAGAGACGGGAGTATAGTCTGGATATGGCTTGCATAAAAACATGAATTTTCTTTTATGCTTGTGTGTTTCATATGATGTTTGTGTGACAAGGATAAATATATCAGAGTGTTTTGTTTTTTTTTTTTTTTTTTTGTAATATGCCTTGCTGCAGTCATATTTGGTTTGTTGCTGTAACACTTTTGAGCCTGTCAGTGCAGCATTAATCATACACTTCCTATCTACACTTATTGGCCTTTTTATACAGATTCTACTGTTGTGGCCCTGAATCCATTTCATTATGCAGATATGTACTTTTTGGTTTTCTAATTTTTATTTTGTTACTCAGTGACTTGGTTTATTTTGGCAGTGCTAGGGACTGAACCCAGAGCTTTGTGCATGCCAGGCAAGTACTTGACCGCAGTCCCTAGCTAATTCACTACGTATGTTGAAGAGTATTTGTTTAGCTCTTTACTCTTCTTAGTAAGTTTAAGTGTATATTCATCTGACTTAGTAACTATGATGAATTAGGTACTTTTCCTCTATTTTAAAGTTTCTTAATGGAAACCCAAGAGATTCAGCAGGGTTTTACATGTTTCTAGCATGCAAAGAAATCCTGGCTATTTCTTGCCATATTCTGGTTCTGTGTATTAAAGATTTTTAAACTTTAATGTGAAGATGGCGTGGCCTGGGGAACATATTAAATATGCCTCTTTGCCGACCCCTGTCTGTGGAAGTCTGGCTCTGTGAAAGGTTCAAGATTAGTACATCTTGACATATGACTCTTAGGCATGTGACATGAGGACTGTTCCTTTTTGTGAAACCTGTACTTTATTTACACAACTTGGATGTGGTACAAAAAATTTAAATCTAGGAAAAAAGAAGCACCGCTCATCTTAGTTTGTGGATTTCTTTTCTTTTTTTTTTTGTAGTGAGGGTTTCACTCTATACAGTTAGCCTTGAAATTGCCATCCGTTTGGCTCAGCCTCCCTAGTGCCGGAATACAGATACACACTCAACACTGTGAAATATATTTCTGAGTTAGAGAATTTTTGGATTGCTCTTCCTCAAATGCACACACAGAGCCTACAGTGTACAGAAGGATTTTTTTTTTTTTTTTTTTTTTTTTGTCTTTTTCCTTTTTATTGGTACCAGGGATCGAACTCATGACCGCCTGCTTGCAAGACAGGCGCTTATGCCGCTGAGCTAAATCCCCAGCCCCTAGAAGGATTTTTTTTTAATGACAGTGTGTTTTCTCTTATTGCTGGGACAAAATACTCAAAACCCAAAGTTAAAGGAGGGAAGATCAGAGGAGCAGTAGTTCATGGTGGTAGAAGACAGCAAAAGCGACAAGAGCATGAAAGGGAAGAGCATGCAGAGAAGATTGTTTCTGTCCCTCATATTGTATGTAGGCCACATCATCTCTAGGGTGGATGTAACACTCACACCCATAATCCCAGCATTGGACTTTGAATCAATCACAAATTCTAGAATCCTACCCCAATGACTTCATGAGGCTTTGTGGGGCTATCGAGACACAAACCATAACAGACAGCAAAGTTCCATTTCCTCAGGTACATTTTGAATTCTGTAAGCCAAAGCTGGATGCAAGTGTTTTCAGGATGCAAGTGTTTTCAGGATGCAACTGAAATAGTTTTTAAATGGAGTTGAGATAATTAAGTATAATCCCCTACTCCACACATCTTGAGCCCTTTATTGCATTTTCTGTAATTTAAGACCATGCCACTATACCTGCATGTTCTCCTTTAGCACAAGATTTTTAGGAGAACTTTCAAGTGTTGCAGGTACCAGATGCCTTGTTGTTGCTTACTAAGTCCTGCAGTTCACTCCTTCACTTCATAAATGCTAATGAGTACCAACTGTGTTTCACGCACCATGAAGCAATCTTATTAAAAGGCAACCCTTTCTCTTAGTTTGGTCATTACACATTGCTTACATATGTCAGATTATACCTCAAAAATGTTGTCCACAGCCCGGAGGTCCTGGGGCAGTGGAGTAGGTTGCTGAGAGACTGAAAAAAAGTACTCAGAGCCAGCTTTTGAGAGAGAAAGTTTAAGATTTGCTGAGTAGTATTACTGGCAAGGATAGGGATAATTGATGCCAACAGGGAGGAGGTCCAGGAGAAGCTAAGAGGAGTCCAACAGTTCCACTTGGAAGGTGCACACTTAGCAGTAGCACCATTTAGAAGAATTTCAGGAGAGGTGCACATTCAACAGTAGCACTGCTTGGAAATCCATGAGGGATGTGAACTCTATAAGTGGCACCCAGCAAGTCCTTGAGAGGGCCATAGTTAACAACAGCACCCTTTGGGAAGTCTAGTGATAATGGGTTGCACAAACATTCACCAGGGAGTATTTAGCATGTCTGTTGGCAATTGGCTGGGCTATTGCACTTACTGGAGCTATGTTTGTGCCCAGTTACTACAGGAGGGGTTTTATAGATTGAACTACATAAGCAGTGACATCATTAGCTTGCGTTGTTCCATCATATATGACCAGCGTTTCAAGGACTTAGAAATGGGCAGGAAGATAGGTTTTATAGATAATACTAGTTTGCCCAGTTCCCAGTGTCCCTCAGATGATTATTTAGCTGGGTAGTCTTGTCCCTGTTTGCTTACATTATTCCCTAGATTTGGCAAGAGCCTTAGGAACACAAAAGGAGTATTTTAGGGGCAGGGAGCTAAATGTCTTAGTTTTTCCTAGGGATAATGTAATTGCTTTTCAATTTAAAAATTGTTTTTAAAAAGCAACTCTTTGTAAAGTTGCATACTAGCCACCTTTGAAGAATTTTTATCTAGTTTCAAGTGATGTCATCTGTTTTCCAGAAATTGGCATTTATTCCTTAACCCCAGTTTGTTGCTGTATCAGTGTTTGAAATCTTTGATTACAAACTGACTGGGCTGTGATGGCTCCAAGTGTCTTGGAGCTGGAGGAGCCAGGGCAGGAGGAGATTTAAGAAAGAGAGAATCCGTTTTGTACCTGTAGTGCCCTTAGCTTCTGATGTGGGAGATGGACATAAAAATGCCTTCTAGCTCCCTAAATTCTATTTAAAGCTTCTTTGTGTCCTTCAGCAGGAAATTGTTTATAAAACTGTGAGTTCATCGGTGGGATAAGAGTGAAAAAAATCATTGAAGCCTCAGTTACCTCCAGTGGTGGATGGAATACTGTGGGCTGTTCTGAGCCTATCTCCATTATTGCATTTTTGTTGTGAAAAATGCTTCCAGGATCAATAAAATGAACTTAAAATGAACTTTCAGCATAGGTTGTTGACAATTTTTAAATTTTTAGATACCAAATTTCAGATTTCTGTTTTCTTCCTTTTTATGACGCCTCCTAAGAAAATCACGTTGTAACTAGCATCTATGGGATAGAATTTTTGTGCTTTTATTAATTGAAATATATACTTTAAAAATTCCTGATGTGATTCAATGTGAGAGTGGATTACTTGGCATTCCAGCACTGTTTTTCCTTGTTTAAAAGTTAGAAGTTTACTGAAAACACAAGTCTCCTTTTGTGTTTAGAGGTTTCACTCTGAAGCTGGCTGTCTTTGTGCTCTTCACCGAGAATTAGAGGTGTGGCAAGAGAGTTCTTGTTCCCTAGAAACTAGAATGGCTATTAAATTTCTGTTGTAGCTCTCTTACTGGACACCAGAGATCAGTGAGCTCAGATGCCCTTTCTGTGCTCCAGGAAGTCAGTGGAGAGCAGTTTTACTTAGGTAGTAAGAGCAGGAGATCACTCTCCAAACTCAGGTTTTCATTTCATGCTTATTGCTGAATTTTGAAACAAGGCGCATGGCAAGTCGGCTTTTGGCTGCAGAGGCTTTCAGGTGGTTCACTGTAGCACTTGGAGGTCAGGGGAATCCTCTCAGGCTTAGACACTGAGTGACTTGTGTATAGGACCAGCTTAATGTGTTAATGGATTCATGTTAGCCAAGCACTCAGAGATATATAGACAGAAGCAATTTGGGTAACAGGAATGAGTCACAGAGCTTCTGGGTGCCTGGTATTTAGGCCTGTTCTTCTTTGGGCCAATCAGTGTAGGAAGTCAGAAGTCCATCTGTTGGCTGCTGGTAAGTTGGAATGGGGTTGTCCATTGGTGGTGACAAC